AGAGGCGCAAGATCCTCAAGAAGACTCCACAGGCACATGAGAAGAAGACCAAGAGAAAGACGAGGCATGCCATAAGAATGGACTTGTCTTCTTTAGCGAAATTACTGTTAACTCTTATCAGCCTACAGTTTTGAAAGACATACCGCATACAGCAATCGGTATCATCGATCGGTTGCATATGATCATATCCGTTTTACTCACTTTCTGACGCATAAAATTTAAATTCTTGAAAAATCGGGTCGTACAAAAGCCCAGATAACACTATCCGGCACTAGGAGTTTTAAGACTGCTCAAAATACAAAAAATATTATAAATTGTCTATTCGGCGCCTGGGGATAAAAAAGGTCAAATTCATCAAATTGCCATGATAATATTGAAACAAAATATCAATGCAATCACATGCAGATACTTGGATACCCTGGTTCCAGAGGTTTATTCTTATTATTTTCATTGCAAAGGGGAGAGGAAAAATAAACCTCTGGTTGAAAGTGGCAATTGACTCATTGAGCCGCGCCAATCAGTTTGAATCCGGGTCATATCCCGACTCTGTCTCCTGATCGGATGATTGTATTAAAGTTGTCTGATTGGTTCAAATAGAACATCTATAACCAATCAGAGAGTTTTAATACGATCATCCAATCAGGAGACAGAGTCAGGATCTGACCCTAATTCAAACTGATTGGCGCGGCTCAATGAATCAATTACCGCTTTCGATCAGCGGTTTATTTTTCCTCTCCCCTTCGCAATGAAAATAATATAAATAAACCTCCGGAACCAGGGTAATACTTGGATAACTTTTCTGACTTTGCGGAGATGCGCGTCTGCACCACAGTCTATAGCTAAGACATTCGTTACTCAGACTATATATGCACACGGTACCGTTTCTGAGCTTTTTCGGTTTTTGGTTGTAATGCGTTAATTTCTGAAACTGAAAGTACCATTTTCACGTACGTTCTGTTCACACGAAAGGAAGCAAAAACGTTTCAAATAGTGAAAACGATGCCAAAGATTCGTTCTCTACGTCTGAAACGTTTGGTCGTTTTCGCACTTTGTTATTGTGTAAACAGAAAAGTAGAAGGCGAAAATGAAATTCCGTGTTTGAATTTGGAAACGAAGACTATAAAAAACTAGTGCTTTGTCTGAAAATGTTGGGAGAAAAACGATCAATGTGAACAAGGCGCCTAAACGCTAAATTTGAAAACGGCACTGCAAAAACGCTCAAAAACGTGACCCGTGAGCACATAGTTTCAGTTAAATTTAATTTTTTTTCAGCTTTATATGTTTAATATAAATAAATTAAAATAATACTCCTATCTGAAAACAAACGCACGAAAATAAAATAGTGCTAATCATTGAGCTGTGGTTGCAGTTATTGTAATTGTGCGTTTCGATTTCGTGACCATATATTTGTTTGTTCTTAGAATGTCGTATTTTATAAATAAAGCAACCCGATTCCTTTTTAGCAACAGCCCACGAACAGGCATCCACATTTCAAAACAAGAGCCATATTGGTGTCCCTCAGTTACTAGCACACCAATATGATTCTCATTACCTAAATCTAACCTTTACAAACTTTTGAAAAACTCGGCAAATTCAACTAGAGTCACTCGGCAATTTGACATTCGACACCCCCCCAATCCATATCCCTTCGCAACGGCCCTGTCCTTAACTTGGCATTGCAAGACACTATGAGTGATGTGCAACCTCTCCGAAATGCACTAGGGACCATACGCGTACGGGAAGGAAAAAATAGGGGGCAGAGAGAAATTTGCTCGACTTTTTCGAATTGTGCCCGACCAGTGCCCGAAAAATTTTTTTACGGAACAATAAATTTTGGCGACCTCCCCCACCCCCAAAAAAATTTTTCGGACATACCAAAATTTTTCGGAACATCAAACAAATTTTCCCAAACATCACAAAATTTACATAATTTCCCGCAAAATTGGCAGACTTTTGCCCGACTTTTGTTGAACATTTGCCCGACTTTTCGACTTTGTAATCTTTTGGGGGGGGCAGCTGCCCCCCCTGTCCCCCCGTCCCGTACGCCTATGCTAGGGACATTACAAATCTGTATAATTTCTTGGAGGTAACAGACATGGGAAGCAGTAAAAGCAGTCACCGAGCAAATGCCGAAAATTATCAAAGCTCAAAGTTCTTCTCATTTTAGCAAAGGATAAGAATACTAAGACGATTGACAGCGTTGCCATTTTGAATGCCATTTGTGACTTTGAATTTGTATTTGGCTTGATTCTTCTGAAGGTGATATTATCAAATACAATCAGTCTAAGTAACTATCTACAAGGGAAAGGCGTCGACGTTATCACTGCAAAAAGAAATGCTGATCTCACTACGAAAAGAATTTTGAACTCTTGTGGGAAAGAGCACAGATCATGTCCAATGAAATGAAAAAGGACATCAAGGGATCTCGTTTCGTATTCAAAGAGGCAATGGCACCCCGGAATTAACAAACCATCCAGTCGCCTGCAAGCACTTATCGGTTAATCCACATTCACGAATACCGCGTGTGTGACAAAAAAAGCCCATCATCGCATCAATACATTCTACCTATCTCTCGACAAAGTGCTTGTGTGCTTTGAAAGACGTTGTTCTAAACGACTAGCTTTTAGAAAACAGCTTTGATATTATGGCCGAGTTTTACAATTTCGATAGGGATCTTCTTGAAGTCGAGAAGAATATGTATCATAATTCCATCATGGACGAGTCCAATCCTCGGGCGAAAACTGCAGAAGACGTCGTCGACAAAATGTTTCAGGATGGATTATGCAACTTAATACCTGCAGGGCCGTAGCGAGGGGGGGTATTGGGGGGGTGGTTAACCCCCCCAACTTTGACATATTCGGAAAATGGGATGGCCATTCGGAAAATTACGGCAATAATAGTATATGGTTTTTATACGAAAATCATGAGATTCAGGCAATTTTTGGCTAATATATGAGTTTTGATATGTCCGGAAAAATTTTTTGACCCTTAAAATGGTACACTGACCGAAATTTTTTTGGCGACGGGGGGGGGGAGGTCGCCAAGAATTTTCTAATATTCGGAAATTTTCTTCGTCATTCGGAAATGTTTGGCCTACACCCCCCCAACTATAAATGCTAGCTACGGCACTGAATACCTGTATTATACAAGGCAGCAACCATTCTTGCATCAATTCCTGTTACATCATGTACCACTGAAAGGTCATTCAGTGGATTGCGGCGCGTGAAAACCTACCTCCGCTCGCGCGACAATGAGCGAAGAACGCTTGAATTCTATTGCTATCATTATTAACATTGAACGAGCATATGTTAACCGAACTATTAAGAACGACATGGTTAAAATAATTGATACTTTGGTAAAATTTGGCAGACGAAAATGGACGAGATAGCTATTGAGTTTGTCGATTAACCGAGTCAAATCCGAGTCCGAGTCAAACCCGAGCCCGAGTCAAATGTCCGAGTCATTGTTTGATCGATGGTCTATGCAGTTCAATGACTTAGCACCCTAATCCTAACCCTAACCCCACTCCTAACTTACCCTAACCCTATTCAACTGTGAATGTTATTCAATTTCGGAGTTTGTCGGTGACTGACTGACTCAAATCCGAGTTCGAGTCAAATGTCCGAGTCACTGTTTAACTGTCTTTGTCGGTAAAATGACTGACTTAGTACCCTAACCCTAAACCTACTCCTAACCCTATTCGACTGTGAATTTTCTTCACTTTCGTCTCTTTTTTTTTACGCGACTCGGGCGTTTGACTCGGGCTCGGGGCTGACTCGGACTCGGATTTGACTCGGTAAATGGATTTACTCGATACAGTAACTATTTCTTCTAAGAGTGAAACCTCTTAGCCAGGCTTCCAATTTAAATGTTGAGTGCACATGTTAAAATTTAGATAATTCATTTGTAAAATCATATAAAAACTCTTATTATCAAAATTCGGGCACTTTTTGTAATCAGCTTAAAAATTCGGGCAAATTTTGTTCCCCCCCCCCCGCCCCCCCAATAAAATTGTGCCCGTACGCCTATGGGCATAACCGTTCAACTTGGATCAGTTGGATGGTTACACCATTCAACCTAGGTAAAAAAATTAATCATCACCCTTGGCATAATCGGCATAACCATTCAATTTGGATGGTTAAGCCGTTGACTGTCTTCGGCAAAACCATTCAACTTGGATGGTTATGCTTTTGAATATCATCAGCATTATCATTCAACCGAATTCATGACGCTTGGCATAATCGGCATAACCATTCAACAATGGTTATGCCCGCGATGACATTCAATGGCATAACCATTGACTAATTCACTAAGTTATTCACATAACCATGGTTCAAGTTAACATAACCATGGCTCATGCATTTTAATCGAAAGGAGTGAGCGCGGGGCCGGGCCTGGAAAAAAGTGGGATCTCGGGATCCTGGATTCTGAGGAACATTTGCCTTAGCAACAAGATTGAGGAACATTTTGAATTTTTCACGCGGGGAGAATCAGTATAAGGAATCATACTTAGTTATCTGCCAGTTGAGTCAATTTTGAGACTGCGAAGTGTTCTTCATATCCTGTTAAGTCTGTTAATAGAATTTGAAGATTGTTTTGTTTCCTCAGCAATTTTACAACCAATATAATTGAGGAACATTACCGAGGAGCCCCCAAAAGTGCGGGGCCCGTGGCATATGCCACTTCTGTCACGTGGTTAATCCGGCACTGGGTAGTTGTATCCCTGCAACGATGGCAACGAAAGCTTGTTCATTTGATTGGCACTAACTACACTGGCAAAGACAGTTCAAGACGTAATAATAATAATTTATTATTTTTATTGCGCAAATATCCATATGTATATGATCAAATCAACCATTTTTTGAAAAATATTATTCTCTCGCCTGTGCTTGTGGCTCTGTGACTGTGAAATTATCATATTCCCATAAAAATCTTATTTGGTTTAATCACAGAGGAAGTATATATCTTTACTCTTTGGTTTCATTTTTGAAACTGTCTGCCTGTAAAAAGAAAACAATGCTAGCACAAAATAAATAATAAGACCAGAAGTCTCACTCGATGTCGGAATCTTTGATGTTGATGTCCCCGCGCATGTCGCCTCGCGCATCTTGGCCGTGTCTCGTTTCCAGTGCCCTAAACAAGTGTAATTTGACAAATTTACATGTAAACATTAAGGAGTGAGGAAGTTAAAACGATACCAATCGAGTTTTAGAGCTTTGGTGACCATTTTAAAAGAATATATCATAAATTCAAAGGTAAGTCTATCGTACTGCATTGTCTTAAATGAATTCTCAGCTGAAATACGGCAATAAATGGATCATAAACGTAGCTAAATTTACTGTTGACAACGAGGTTGACAGATCCATTGCTTTTTTGCCTTGAATAGCTTTACCATAGTCATTTTACCTTAAAATGTAGCTACTGAGGATATCTCTAAGAGATTTACACAGATTATTTGCACAATCTCACGATTTAATCATGCTGATAACATGAAAATCCTTGTGCCATTCTATACTTGGCATATAAATCTCTACATCAATAGTTCACCAGTTCACTAATATAAATTCAATATATTTTTGAACCAGTCCATATATTATTATACACAATGTAGTATAGTTAATTTGACCATATTTGAGAAGTAAGGGTGTATTTCATTACACAGACACTGCTGAATTTTAGGTTACATGCCATTGGATTGATATATAAAAAAACACTTGTAAAACACACACATTATTTTTATCTTGTTGATAGAATAGTTATTTGCAGTATACTAACTGTTGGCATACTCTATTTCAGGACTATCAATTGTTTTTGTCACTGACAGTCTTTGAAATACAATCTTGCTCTGTGGCCTTTACTGACAAGTTGGCTTTTACTACATATGTGGCACTGACACTTCTTTAATTAATGCACCAGTCAACGTAAACCCCCGAACTGGGGAAGGGCAGGGATTTTGACTTGGAGGGGTAGTAAAAGAGCGAAATTGGCCCCGCCCCCAGGGACATCAATGTCCCCTGCATGTCTCTCAACCCCAGGAAAATAGTTTTGTATAATCATAGATCAGCAATAGAAAATCAAATTCATTTATGTTATTGTATTTAAACTTTTCTTGTCAAGAAAACTAAAACAGCAACACAGGATATATATGTTAACCACTGTCCAAGTCTCCCATCATCGGGGACAAATTTATAATCAAAACTGACCACTTTCCCCGATAAACCTTCCGCCCTCCCCGGTTGGGGGCAGGGATTTACATTGACTGGTGCATAACTAGATGATTGCATAAAGCATTGCATGGAAGTTGATTTATAATTAGTTTATGAATAAACTCACACTTTCATTATAATGGTTGATCGAATATATCAAATCATTTGATTGGTTGATGGTCCCTTACTGTCGTTCCAATTGAAGTGTTCCTCAAATATTGATTCAATACATTACCTCGGGCTGACCAATTCATTTCATCAAGTTCCTCGAGATATTCATACACTTCCTGTGAAAGAGCCAATTCCAATGTCAAAAATTTTTTTCGGAAATAACTTTTTTTAAACAAAATATTGCAAATTTGTCCCCTTATACCTAAATTTTCAAAAAATAACCTAAATTTTTCCCTAATTATCAAAATTTTTTCCAAAAATTCAAATTTTCTGGGGGGGCTTTAGCCCCCCTAGCCCCCCTGTTCCGCCGCCCCTGTTCCTTTCTATTTATGATTGGTTAGTTGCACAAACAACAAAGGTGATTGGTGCATTCAAACTATTCAACAGGAAGTTTACAATTATACTAGGAAGTGTATGAATATTTCGAGGAACTTGATGAAATGAATTGGTCAGCCCGAGGTAATGTATTGAATCAATATTTGAGGAACACTTCAATTGGAACGACAGTAATGGTAATGGTAGTCAAATCTGAACCTATATAATGTCAATATACTGGAAAAGTATCAAATTAAATTTTAATTGTCAATGTTGTGGAAAGTAAATAAATCAAACAATTCTGTTTGTTTCAACTAACTAGTTCACTATCACTTTGGTTTTCAAATCAAAGAATCTTTAGCCTGGTTGAGCTTTTGAAAAAGTAGCTGCTTGATTGAATGCAAGATTATTTTACTCCGTCTAACGCCAGACAATTTCACTCGTCAAGGGGAAAAGTGCTGCCACTCAGTGAACTCAATCAGAGCTCAGTGAGCAGCAGCACTCTCCCTCAATAAGTAAAATCATCTGGCATTAGATGAAGTGAAATAAATTAATAAAGTAGGGTGCATTGGGGCACAATGCAGCTTACTGGGTTAACTGGAAAATATATTTATTAAACAATATACATCCTATACTTGTATTTCAATTCACAGCATGATTTAGTATGCTTATGTCTATTTGACCCAAGTACCTGCCAGGAATGATATTTGAATCGCACCTGTATTCATTGAACAAAGCTAATTTAAATGTACATTAATTGTACATGAACCATGTAAATGTAAAAACTAGCTGGAGCAAAAGCACACCCACACAGCTTTGTTTTTTTTATTTTTCTTGAGAAGGAATAACTGAGTTACAATGAGACCAGTATCAACAATTTCAAATAGGTTTGTACAAAAATAACAGAAAAAACACAAAGTATGTCACTAGTATTCTGTGATATAGATGATATTGCTTTAAAACTTGCAGCTTTTAGCAGTTGTCTAAGGGCCTGTTTATATCGAAACTGGCTGGCCCACTAAGTGAGACAGCCCGGTAAGTGAGATCTCACTGTCTAGTTATTTTTATAGTACAAATTATCATTTCTATGGACAAGCAGGCAGGCCCGGTTGCCAAGACCAGGATGGAAATTTCTCCACATAAACAATCATAAGCAGGCTAGCCCGGTTGCCGGGATGAAAGTTCAAAGATACTGCCGCAAGCTACTTTTAACAACTGTCAAAATAATGTCAATGAAAACAACAAAATTGTCCCGGTAAGCGGAATGAAATTTTCTCAAATAAACACAAGAGAAATCATCCTGCTTACCTATACCTTACCGGGCTGTCTTGCTAAGAGGGCCAGCCCGGCTTCCATACAAACAGGCCCTAACAGTCTCTGTCAGGCAATTGCAATGTTCTAATGTCCAAACTCTAAAGTATTATAAACAAGTAGTAAGTCTGTAGTAAGTTGCTAGTAAGTCATATCAACATGTGATCTTGACAATATACAGTGTATAAACTAAAGTAATTCAGCTTCTACACATGAAGCGACTTTAAACACTATCCTTACACTTTATCAATTCATTGAAGTTTGTACTTAAAAGACATTCTATTTGTAGTATTAAATATAAGACATATTCTATTTGTAGTATCAAGTCACATCAGGATTTTATAATCTAGCGTCTTTGGACCCAAGTGATCTAGAGTTCTATCTTGTTAAAACCTATCCAAGGAAAAACAAAAAAGGGATATTGAAGTAATGGTGTTTTTGAGCCAAATAAATTCGAATATCCACAAGTATAAAAGCAGAACTCAGTATATACCGGAGACAAAATGGCATCATAGCAAACACATTTTAATGATGCTCAAATTTATATTCAGTGCGCTATATTTTTAAAAATATGACCCTGTTTGCTTTCTAAATACAACAAAATTACTGCTTTACCTTCTGTTCAAATAGTTCCACAGGTAAATCGAAGTCACATTTCGTACTACTTGAAAAAAAGCTGTTTTTACTGTAGAAATGACAACTTCCCAATATAATTTTCTATTGTCAACACTGCATTACACTCATTGAACTAAAATATATGGAACGCTACCTTAACTGAACATGCCCAGACTTGCCTGAAGCCAAATTTTACCTCCAGACACGCGTGTCTGGAGGTAAAATTCACGCGCGTTGTCGCGTTTCCTGCGTGGCGCCGAAGAACAGCGACAGCCAACCAACATGCATTTATAGCAACATGTGATTGAAAAGGTTTTGAAAAGGAAGGCACTTCTCTTGTTATGGAGCTAATCGGTTAAATTGTCATTCAATACAGCATGAATCATAACTTTTCATACGTGTATTCGATCGGTAAATCGGGGAAATGAAACATTTTTTCGTTCAAATTGAATGTGTACACAAACGACATGGATTCAGAGATTCAGATTGTAAAGTTGTAAACACGTAAGTGCCTTTACTAAATTTATTAAATATGCATGAAGCTCAATCGCATCTGCAACAGAGTAACTGAAATTGTATGTGATTTGAGGACAGTTTGTTTGCCAGGTTCAATCCTTCTTGTTCTTGAATATTCTGAAGCTCTTCGATATGTTTCCATCTTATGATGTTGCCATCTCCATCAATGGGCCATTCCATTTATTAAATATAGCCAGGCACCCCCCTATTGAGGGGTCCCTTCCAAATCCCCTTAGGATATAAACATTTTAGAACCCCCTTGGATGTGATTTTTGGAAGTTACCCCATGGATATCTTGATACCCCCTTTAGGATATCGTTTTTGCCCCCTTGGATATCACTAAAACACCTAATTTTTGCTATTTTTTGGAAACATTTTAGGTAAAAACCCCCTCCCCCATAGGATATCCAGACCCCTCAATAGGGGGGTGCCTATATTAAATGGAATGGCCCATTATAAAGGATCCCATGGACAGGGTCGAGTATCACAAAAACATCTTTGGTTGTTGGATTCTTAAAAGTTACCAGAAAATTTGCAACCCAGTGTTTTGAATGTACTAATGTTAACATCTGTGCCATCAGCTGTTACTGACCACATTTTTAGATTAGCATTTGCAACTTTTTCAAGACACTTTTTACCAGTGTGGCTTAGTCCTTTGCATTCATTTTATCAGCCAAGAGGTATCCCACTGATGACTTCTGGTGCCTACCAGAAGAAAAACAAAAGCTTCTGTGGCCAATTTTTCTAAATGTCCATTAGGAATCTCATTTCCAAAGTCTACAAATCCGTAGGAGTCTTTTTCTGGATTCCAAATGGTTTGTTTTCGGATAGACATTGCGTCTATTACCAAACAGTAATCTTTGTCAGTATTTGATTGGGCTCGGCTCGGCTGATAATGCTTACCTCAACCTTCTGAGAAAGGGATGAGAATGCCTCATCAATAAAGCCTGGATGTAATTTTGTGTAATTCATCACTTGAGGCACATCTTGGTCTTTTTTTCTGAAATTGAAGGATCATTTTCATGTGCTGGACATGGTCTCACGGTCTGTTCTTCTGTTTAATTCCTCGTCATGTGCTGTTAATGTTGGTGGGTCAGAATGTACAGGTGAACCAGATGGAAAAGCATATTTTTTGAGTCGACATGTGTTGTTGGATGAAGGAGGCAAGATGCTGCCTATACGACTGTCCTGGTTGACTTGCCATGGCTTTTTATTTACTTTTTTGAACATAATTCTCCCAACATATTTGTAAAGCATTATTTTTCAAAGGAAATCCATAACAATAATAATAATTTTTATGTAAATTCAGCTTAATTATCACCCTTCTATCTGTCTGCTTGTCTTATTTATTCTTGTGTTTGTTTTTTTGTTGTTGTAGGTGATGTACACATGTCAAAAGTCAAAATGTGTAAAATAGGCTTGTTTTTGTTATATTTTCTTTGAAGTATCTAATATCACAGGTTTATGTGTTTTTTTGGGGTTTTTTTTTTCTGTGTTGGTGTTGTGTACTCAGGTGAATATGATATTTGTGATGTTACTCTGAGTGTATATCCACACCGTGCGAGCTTGAAAAATATGCCTGGCCACAGAGGGATTTGAACCTACGACCTTTGGAATACTAGCCCAATGCTCTTCCAACTGAGCTACGCGGTCAGGATGGTTCGAGTAAGTGATATTTAGGAACTGAATCTAGTTCCTTCGATACCAATGTATTCTAGTAATATGATTTTTTTTTGGCTAGTATTCCAAAGGTCGTAGGTTCGAATCCCACCATGGCCGGGCATATTTTTCAAGCTCGCCCGGTGTGGATATACACTCAGAGTAACATCACAAATATCAGGTTTATGTTTGTTTTTTTGTGTATAATTAAGCCCAAACTAAGAAATATTGTTGCAGAAACATTAGTGATTCTCAATGTTTCCTCAAATGTTTTCCCATTTGCCCACCTGTGGAAACATTGTTGCAGAAACAAATTTTGCTTCTTGGGAAACAAGAATGTTTCCTACCAAGTTCAGACTAAGATTATAGTTGCGGAAACATTGTTTCTCCGTTTGCCCACCTTGGCCGGCTTGGGAACATTGGCAGGAAACAATGTGGATTTTTAGTAAAGTAAACAAAGGATAAATAAATACCTGTGAAATGTGAATTTTTAGTAAAGTAAACAAGAAATAAATAAATACCTGTGAAATGTGAATTTTTAGTGAAGTAAAATGAATAAATAAATACTTATAATAATAAATAAATAATAATATACTATCTATTTCTTCTTATTTCTCATTCATGGCTCATAAGGGTTGTTATCGTCATGTTTAAAGGTCGGTCAAAAGTACATTATGAAAGATTTTTACTTTTCCACACTCAGGGACAAAACTAGGTTTAACTTTGCATTCTGCTCACCTGGCATTTCGAAAAACAAAACAAATAACGTAAGTGTAAATTCTAAATAAAAACTAGGCATAGTTTTCATGAATTTCATTAAAAAAGACAAAGTTTATTCAATAAAAAACATCTTTCGGCAGCGACATGATTGCATTTTCAAGGATATTTTTTAAAAAAATTTATAAAATCAAATTTAAATGCTTGTGTTTTGGCCGCGCGTATTTATCGCGAGGAAAGACTTGGTTCTAACCGGAAATCGCGGCTTCAAACTTCTGGCTGCAGGTAGCGTTCCATATATTTTAGTTCAATGATTACACTTGTTTAGCTCGCGCATGCGCAGTATAAAAGATGGGACATGTTTCCGCTTGAGTAAGACTTCTGGTCCTATTATCTATTCTGTGATGCTAGCAACAGCTGGGAAATTTGTTGTCGCTGTGCAGAGAAATTGCTGGCGCACGCGATATTTTACAAAAATTCGAAAATTTGAAAAAACAACACGAGTGAAATTTCAACTGACGATTTTGCATTTTTAAGACGGCGATCAAGGAAATTAAATTGTTGGAAAAACTTCACCAACATCTCAAGTATGGAAAGCATCTACATTACCACAAATTTAATTGTGGATTGATTCAAAATTCAGGCGATAAAGTTACATAGCTAGGAGTTGGCTTTTGTGCTCTTCGAATATCAGTTTTCATTCGCAGATTACCATAACTTGTTGGCCTCAAGGGTGCCAAAATCGACATAAACGTAAACTGCTAACCAAGAGCTATAAAACAAATAGCTTTTCAAAAAGATAAACTTTATTCAGTCAAAAGGATGAGGGTAAATAAACATGCTACTGCGTGATAGTGATTTCGAAGCAACTTTGTCACATATATTTTAAAAAGTGTGATAATGAATCAAATTTTGCTTTTTGCAATCCCGAAAAGGTATAAAAATTATTTAAATATTTAAGGTTTCCGTGTTTCTAAAGTATTTTTTTGAGAAAAGTAAAAATTTTCCCGATAAAAAAGCATAGTTTCTGCAGAAAACTGTTTTCTGATAGAGAAGGTCCTGGGGGAGGGGGTGTAGAAGCGTGCGCGGATAGCAGAAAACCTTGACGTTTCCTCCAAAAAATTAATACCAAATTTTGTTTTGCCTTTGTTTGATATGTAATTTAAACAAGTTTTTTTACATCTAAAAATTGCCCCTAGTGGTCAAAACTTGGATTATGTTCGCAGTATTGGCCATTTGTTTACTTTGGGGGATCAAAGTTTGAGATCCAATTATTTTTAAAGTTTGCAAACTACCCAGCTAATTCTTGGCTGTTGTTTGCAGCCATGTATGCTGATTAAAATTTAGTTTAGTCCACAATAGTAGATCCTTTCAATGAAGGGAAATTCAAAATAGTATATTTGATTACTTTTACAGCACAGTCATTACATAGGTAGGGTGCAATACCAGGCCAAATTACAAAAAAATTTACCGATTCCTCCAAATTTAAAATCATATTTTTTTGCTCCCAAGGCACATAGGAAACATAATTTAACAATGAATTTTGTTGAAAAATTGCCCCTTTGGGTCTAATTTCGCTTTGAAATGCGTGCGTTTACTGCTCTTGCATGAAAGCAAGAGTTCGAAAACATTCCGAAGTACTGTAAAATGTAATGAAATCGACAACTTGACCTTGCCCTTGAGACCTTGTACTGCCTCGGCACTGAAATGTTTCAGTTTTTGACAACGATAATTTACCAGTGTTTCTTGAATATTTTCCTTGTTTAACTAGTAGAACCGAACGTACAAGTGCATCAGAAGACTAAGCGAAAGTTTTGTGTAGAAATGCTCTGTTTACGGGAAGTTATTTTGCATTCGCAAGCGTCAACAAAACTGCGGCATTTTCACAGTTTTGATTATCATAGCGATAGATAAAAGCTTTGAAAATTCAATTGAATATATGTTAGTTGTATTAACATTTAACTTCTTTCTGTTTGAACCCAAATTTGTACTTGTTTTGCGTTTGACAAGGCTGTCAAGCTCGAGACGATTGGCTTTTATACCTCAGTCAGGCATGACTACAGATTTAGCGTGTCAAATGTCTTCTTGTTTGTGTCAAGATTATAATATTCTATTGCTGTTCAAACGAGATATTCTATACACTGGAAACGCGTAGAGTACATTTTACTTCGTCTTTGTCTCAAGCAAAAAAAGTATAAAGATTAAACAGGCATTCAAAAATATACAACAACCACGAACATCTCGTAATATTTCTTCGGGGAAATCTTCAAGTTTCAATGGAAATCTGGCGCATGCGCAACAAATTTCCCAGCTGTTAATGCTAGCCAGTGCACTCTAATAATAACTGGAAGGCTAACTCCTATCACAGAGTAGATATACTACACAGAGGTGGAACTCAGCCAAAAAAGTGTAACCGGCCGCCAAAAGCTTAGCCAGTGCGCTAAAGAGAGGCATTCACCCCCCCGAACTCAAATTTCAAGATGGCGCCCGAGTGTTTCAGAAAATAATCGACACGAGAAACACTTGTTATTTTGCTCATAACAGTTTTCCTTTACTAAAGTTGTTATTAACATGTTTATATAATTCGTCCTTCAAAGATGTGTTGGTATGAGAAACCTTTGAAGATTATCTACCGATTTATATGGCACTATATTCATCGTAGGAGTGAAAATTGAAATTCCGAAATTACCGAGAAATTAATACTCATGTGAGTCATGTCTAAAGGATTTAGAAGAAATATAAATGGTATAATAACTTATGTGCAGCTGGATTTCGTTGTATTTAATATTTTGTGAAATACTTAGGCAGAAATCAGTCATGTTAACTTTTGATGATATAATTCATATCTTTCGTATAAACCTTCGATTGTTCTACTTATATTTCCCTTTATTACGTCAACCAACCATAAAAACAATGAGTTTTATATCCCTTAATTTCTATAAAATACAATTCACAGCGCCATAACTCTAACAACAACAAGAGAGTTCACATGTTCTCAATTAACCAATCACGTTAAACTATATCTATAATTATGTTAAATTATTACTGTTTCCACTTAACGTTAAAAATTTCAATTTTCCTACTCAAATTCGTACCCTCCCCCCATTGGCCAGTGTGTTCTATTCGTCCTCGAAATACTGGCCAATCCGGTCGTTAGCAATAACTGCCGCAGCCCTCTTGGGCGTTGTCCGTTCAAACGTTTCAATCTTACCTTCGTCTCCGCGCGCTGGCTTTACCTTGTCTTCTTCCGTGTTCGCGCACCGTATCTCCAATGGATAGAGTTTTTGTAAAGGTCTGTCGATTATATTTCTTTTACCGTTTTTCACGCGAAGAACTCGAGCACCTCTAACGTTACCGTCTCTGCCCGTCACGAGTCTCTCGACCTTGCCCATCGACCACAATCCTCGTTGCAACTGCGACTCATCCCGAATCGAAACAATATCTCCGACTTGAACAGGTGACGTGCTAGTATTACCCTTTTTCGGACGATGAAACTCACGAATGTCAACAAGGTACTCGCGCTTCCACCGTTGCCAAAAATGTTGAATTTTCTTCGCGACGTACGTTGCACGTCTTTGAACTGCTTCCTTACCGCTTTCACCGTCAAAGTTTTCTTCTCGAACTACACCGTCAGGTAAATTCAACAATCTACGCCCGATAATAAGGTGTGCGGGTGTGATCGCTTCTTCGATGTCATCGCTGTACGAGTATGTCAAGGGACGTGAATTCAAAACAGCCTCGATTTCTGCGAGAATGGTAGATAGTTCATCAAACGATAACTGCGATTTTCCGAGCACTTTCTTTAAGCACGTTTTAACTCCCTTGACCATACGCTCAAAAAATCCACCCCACCAGGGGGATTTTGCAAGATTGAATCTCCATTCAATACCTTTGTTGACCAGAAAGTTCTTCACCTCGGGTATGTCGAATAGTCTTTGAAGCGTTTTCTTGGCTGACTTGAACGTTTTGGCGTTATCCGAGACTATAAGCCGAGGAAGCCCGCGACGACTGACAAATCTTCTGAGACACAACATGAATGTTTTTGCTTCGAGGTTTGGAACAAGTTCCAAATGTACAGCTCTGCTACTGGCACAAGTGAATAACGCTACGTAAGTCTTAATCATTTCTCTTTCGCCGTTGTTCCAAGACCTTGCATAGAGTGGACCTGCGAAGTCCACCCCTACGCAACTAAAGGCATATTCTTCGCAAACACGAAATGACGGTAGATCCGGTGATTCTGGAATTGGATAATGTCTCCCTTGAAGTCTTTTACAGACAGAACACTTAAAGAGTACAGACTTAACCGTCTGTCGACCCTTGGTAATCCAAAACTTCGAACGCACTTCGGCTAGTGTTTCCTTCAAGCCATTATGAAGGACACGTTCATGACAATATCGTACAATTAGAGTAGTGAGCCAATGATGACGAGGCAATAAAGCAGGGAATCTGGTAACGTATGGAAGTTCTGCATTACCCACACGTCCCTTACACCGAATAACTTGATTTTCATCTTTAAACAGTCCAAGTTGCCTTTCTAACTGCTTTATGTCCATGTCCCGCTGTGCCTCCTTCGTCCATATGATTTCTGCAGCTTTAATTTCTGCAGTCCTAGGTGGGCCAGTGCTATATGGTTTCCTTTGAATGTGATTGATAAACCTCAATACATACGCCGTAATTCGCAAGAGTTTGTGGAATCTGGATACACGTTTAGGATCAAGCAGGTATGTTAAATTTACTTGGGTATTCGCCAGGCTTGTAGTTGATAGACCTCCTCGATTTAACTTTAGTTCTTGATTGCATTCGTCCGAAGGTTGGGAAAGGGGTTTAGAAGCTGGCCATTCACCTTCATCGCAAACCAACCACGAAGGACCATGAAACCAAGTGTCGCTAGTCTGTAATTGTGATGCCTTTGCTCCCCGCGAAGGAATGTCTGCCGGGTTATCCCTTCCGGGAGTGTGAGACCAACATTCTACCGGCACTAAACTACGAATTTCATTGACTCGGTTTTCCACAAACGTCTTCCATTCCTTTTCTTTCCCCTGAATCCAAAACAATGCTGTGATTGAGTCCGTCCAGCATTTTATTATGTCAATATCGATTACCGATTGAAGCGCTGACATAACTTTAGCCATTAATCGTGCAAGGATTAAAGCAGATAACAGTTCAAGTCTTGGTATTGAAGTCTGGGAAAGTGGAGCTACTCTTGTCTTCGACATAACTAATGAAGTACGGATATCGACCTCGGTCTCGACTCTCAAATAGACAACGGCTGCGTAACAGACACGCGAACTGTCACAAAATCCATGCAACTGATAAGAAATAGAACCGTCTGCCGAGTTACTCAAGTAACACCGTGGAATTTCGATGTACCCAACCTTGTTCAATTCATCGCACCAGCTTTGCCACTTATGATATAACAGTTCGGATAAAGGTTCGTCCCAGCCCAATTTGCTTTGACAAAGTTCTTGGAATAAAACCTTCATTTCAGTAAATATAGGGGTAAGAACACCCAACGGGTCGAACACCTTGGCAATGATCTTTAAAATGCTTCGTTTACTAGAAGGTAATTCACTCGCTAGTTTGATTATGTCGTCAAACCGGAAAACGAATGTGTCCTTTGCAAAGTTTCAATTCAGACCCAAAACCTTTTGCTCTGCCTGGTTTAAATTTGAGGATTCGGTTATTAAGGATAACTTTGCATACGACAGATCTTCTTCCATGATTTCTTGATTCTGTGTTTGATCTTGGTCTCCTGGTGGATCAGACTCTGATTCTTCGCACTGGATTTGTCTTCGAAGACTAGCAGAGTTAGAACACCACTTACGCAAGTTGAAACCGCCTATCTTCATAATCTCCTTCAACTTGAGGTAGGTTGCGAATGCTTTGTCGTCGGTTTGCTCTCCCGTACTTAGATCATCTACATACAAGCTGTCAATGATTCTTCTTGCGAGCTCTGGATCGATCTGAGGATAGTTCGATATATGATATTCAAGAGTAGCATTCAATAAGAATGGACTTGATGTAACACCGAATACCACACGACAAAACCGATATATGACTTCCTTAGGATTATCACTGTCCGTATCATCAATCCACAGAAACCGAAGAACATCTCGATCTGCAGGTAACA